GGAGGAGGAGGAGGAGGAGATGAAGGAGGGAGTGGAGGAACCTCAGCCAACTCCTCAGCCGGACCCTCCCCCAGGTGACCACAGAAACCTGTCAGACCAACATGGAGCTCGTTCAAGTCTTTAAATTTAAACTTTTCTCTCCTCCCTGAAGCCCGTCACCCAGCAAGTCTCTGACCTCCGCCATGAGAGCGCCGCCAGGTCGCAACGCTCGCCGCAGCCAGGTACGAGGCCCCGCCTCCTCTCAGCCTCCCTCTGCTCCTGGTCCTCCTCCCCCGTCATTCCTTGCTGCCTCACCACTTCCTGTGGCCTCAACAGGAAAAGGGAAGTTCTGCTCAGCCTGGGAGGAGGAGGAGGAGGAGGGGGTCATTGAGAGGGTCCATCAATCTCTCTGGCACATGAAGGAAGCTCTCTGCTGACTCCTGAGTGTCAGCTTCCTGTTGTGGTCCAGACACTCAGGTTCTGCTGCCGGGTCCAACAGAACCACCAGCCTGGGATCAGAACCTGAACGGTCTGAAGCCCCACCAGGCTCAGCTGTCAGTTTCATCTTTAACTCTACAAACTTTGATTTCACTGTAAAACTTTAATGAGTTCTGTTTCCATGCTGCTGCTTCAGATGCTCCTTTAGCTGCAAGGAAGCTAAAGCTAATTAGCTTCTACCCAATGTAAACACAAATTACACCTGTTTGAGTTTTTCATCAAATTTCTATTACACAAATACTGAGAAGAGCTTTAAGAAGTACTTTACTCCAATTAGCTTAAAGATTTGAACGTATCCTTTTATATTAGTTCTGTTTCACTGTTTTGATTGGTTAGCTGGTCACTGGTACGACCAATCAGAAGTGAATAAACTCACCTCTGGATAATTAGCTTTAACTGTTAGCAGCAGCAAAACAAAAGGTTGGCTCCAGGTGTAAACCTTAGTTGTTAGCTTTAATGGTTAATTTCAAATAGTAGCTTCTGATGCTAGCTTTGGTTTTAGCTATAAGAGGCTAGCTCTGGATTTTAATTTTAGCTTTGATTAAAAATTTAAATGCTAACTTTGGATTTTAATTTCAGTCGTTAGCTTCATATTCAGATGTTAGCTTCAGTTGTTAGCTTCCGATGCTAGCTTAGGATTTTACCCTCAGTCAGAAGCAGCTGACATCTTTGGTTCAGTTAATTCAACACTTCATTTTTTCTTCATGAGTTCTAAAGTATTTTTTATGTTTTGATTGTAACAAAAGTAAAAGTTATGATTAGAAACAGACTGTAACAAAGTAAAAGTACTCAGATACTACATACCTCTGACCAGAACTTTCATTATTACTGTTAAAACTAATGAAGGTTGTTATAAACTGACAGAAGTTTAATATAAAATATTAACTGTTTCTCCCAGACTCTGAGATTAGACAGGTGATGATGGACAGGTGAGGACAGTTAGAGGAGGAGTTATAAATAACCAACATGGTGTCTGGCTCCTCCCCCCTCCATCACTCTCCTCACATCTGTGCTGTTAGCCGACACCAGAGAGGACACAAATACCCCACCTGTTTCAATATAAGTACACACACACACATATATACTGTATTAGTTCATTAGTTCTGATTAAACATCCTGATTCCATCATCTTAACAAGGGTGGGAGGGGCCATGTCAGTGGGAGGAGTTACGTAAGTGGGCGGGGTTAAACTAAGCCTTAGGGCAGCTTCAGAAATACAACAATTTGCTTGTTTTGTTACTAATTAAATTTAGATTCTTTCTTTTCTTTCCTCAGTTTTCTCACATCATACCTTCATCCCTCCTCTTCTTCTTCATCCCTCCTCCCCCCTTCATCCCTCCTCCTCTTCATCCCTCCTCCTCTTCTTCATCCTCCCTCCTCTTCTTCATCCTCCCTCCTCTTCTTCATCCCTCCTCCTCCTCTTCATCCCTCCTCCCCCCTTCATCCCTCCTCCTCCTCTTCATCCCTCCTCCCCCCTTCATCCCTCCTCCTCC